GATCCGAAAATTGTCGCTAGCTAGTTACAAAACTTCCCCGCTAAAAGGTTTTTCTCGAAATTGAAAATTCTGAAGTTTGACCGAATTTATTACACTTCCAATGTTCCACTTTGAAGATCTGACACTTTTTTATCTGTCAGACCTCACCGACCGGTGCTAATTAATGAGGTAAAAAAGGCCAAATTCATGTTTAAATTATAGGTTAGAGTGGTAGTACGAATTTTAAAAGAAATTCTGTTTCTAATATAAAAGTACCTTGTGAGGCATTCCCTCTATGTCAAACCCAACGTTGTTGTTCCATTTCAAAGAAACTTGTATCTGGAAATATAGAAATTATAAGTAAAAACATAATTTCAGATAACTGCCACCATACCACGGTCGGATTTTTATGTGCACCAAAGAACCAAGGTGTTTTTTTCACAGAGCACTTTTGCAGCGTGATATTAGTATTGCGATAATTAATGGCTGTAATACTTTCTGTGGTAGGAATGAAAGAATTGGTTTCTTCATCACCAGATGGGTACGGAAGTGAGTAATTTAATAATCCATAATCATTATGATGTTTAGCGAGCTTATCAAGGCCCTTCAACTCATGTGCATTTCGGCGTTGGATGCATTCAGCCGTGTCTAAAAGTTCAGTATTTGAACATATGGAGTTGTTTGAATCATTTTCATTAAAACGTAAGTCCTGTATGTCAGAGTTTTTGTCGCCGTCTGCTCTTTTCTCATTTAACATTTCTATCTTAGGAAGTTTTTCAACACCTTTTGCTTCATTCTCATTCAAATTGTCAAGATTTAGTTGTTGTTGACAACGTATCATTTCATAATTTGTTAAGTCATGCGCAGTTTTTCTTGTAAATACGCGAGCGATGTGGAATGTAGGAGGTATGAGTGGCGGTGTTACGCTAACACTGGTATCCACTTCATTCCTATTTGAAATTAAGGGACTCTGTGAACGCAATTCAAATAACGATGCTGGATAGCTGGATCCCTGCTGAAGCGGAGAGTTGGTATCGATTTCACATATTTGCTCGGAATGTGTAAGATTATTGATATCGTGACTTATTTGATGTAGTGCATCATTAATTTTATCTGCTTGTAATGAGAAGTCGTCCGTATTCGTTGGCATATCTGTATTCATATTTCTTGTGATGATATTTGAATGGCACTTGTCGACATTAAATAACACTCGCGCTTCTTTAACTCTCAAGGGTTCCGATCCAAAAGATCTACGTTCATTGCGAATATATTTAGCAAATAAGCGCAGTTCTTTTGGGTATGGAGTTGGTGAACGCATTAAACGAATACCTCCATCAGCTTTGTTATTGTTTGTTAAGCTATTTTTGTTGATATTCTGAACAGTTTCTATTTTTGGGTTGTTATCAGTCTCGCACGCGAATTGGAAGTTGTACAATTTAGAATTAGGTGAAGTGCTCATAATAATGGCCTTTTCCGCAAAACAAATTCGACGTATTGGATAAGTGTTGGTAGCTAGTGGCTCGATCTGGTTTGGACAATCATAATCAGAATTTTCTGATGGCCGTTCATAAGTATCAGATTCCTTCAAATGCGCTGGAGATCGCCTTTCAAAATGGAGTGGGTACATACAGCTACCTGCTTGTGGCAACATAAAACAAGTTAGTTTTGATCTTGTATTGATGTCTAGATATTGTAAAGGAACGAGCGGTTGGGACTGATTATCACTTATCCACAGTGAAGATAAATTGATCAAGTTTAAAACAGAAAGAGGTAGTGTAGCGATATGATTATTAACTATATTCAGAACTTTGAGTTCAGAAAGTCTACCAATACTTTTTGGCAATTCAGATATCTTGTTTCGGCTTATGCTTAAGATCCTTAAATCGTTACAACTGCATATTTCATTTGGTAAGGAATGCAGATCATTATCATCGACAAAGAGGTAACGTAGTTTCCTTAACATTCCAATCGTAGATGGTAAACTGGTGAGTTGGTTGTGACTAAGTTCCAGTTCTTCTAGACTGTCCAAATTAGATATGCTATCAGGCAACTGATGCAACTCATTTGATGCACATTTCAAAGTGACTAGAGATTTCAACGAGCCAATACTAAATGGAAATGTATCTAAATTATTTGTGCACAAAGACAAGACCTCAATGTCCCGCCAGTTACTCATATCGTGTGGAAGAATACTAATATTATTACCAGATGCATCGAAATGTAAAATGTCGCGTAATTTCCCAACATTAGACGAAATTCTATTAATTTGGTTAAAGTCAATCCATAGTTCACGCAGCTGCTTCAATTCACCAACAACTTCCGGCTAAAAAAAATATGATGCTTTATTTTAGAGAGAAATAAAAAATAATATGTAGATGTCTTCGGCTATGCCGAAGGTAGTCACCTTTCACTAAAACCAAATTATAGCTCCTTAAAATAAACCGATTGAACTGATTTCAAAGCTCTCAACTATTCATGAAAGAAGGTGGTAGTTGAACAATTAATACTTAGTTAGGAAATCTTTTACCTTCTTATGAACGCGCTTTTCCTAGCAAAGTCAGTAGAATACGGCCCGAGAAGACGATTAGGAGGATGATCTCCTGGTAGTTTGAAAACGAGGAAGATAATAAGCTTGGTTTCCGCAGCTTCTAACCATATAAAGCAGATTTACTTTCACCCATACTGGTAACCGTCTTTCAAACGGCTATGCGATTGAAGTATTTTCTCCAATTTGTATTTCAAACGACGGGAAAGACTCGCATGAGACAGAAGGGCTTTCGACTGATCAGTCTATCTTCATTTCTACACAAGACACTTGAGCGCCTATTAGACGCGCACAGCAAACAAAACAAAACAGCGCTACATTCGCTAGCACACATAGTAGAGTAATCACTACACTATAAAGAATACCTTTTCAGGCATCAAAAACATCTTCCTAGAAGTTATAACCTCATAAATTCGAAATTGTGTGGATCATAAATTAAAAGACTTCCAGTAAGAAGTACGCCTTAGGGTGGGATAATCTCGCGACTAATGTGGAACGTAACTAACGACAGTACTATAGAACTCGAAGTCATTGGCGTTAAAGTGGGCGCTTTGCTGAGATGTGGATATAGCCTTCTCGTGCAGGCACCTTCTCTCCTTAAACTATGACGTTGAAGGATTGTCTGCAGTTCTGTTTAAGCAGTGTAAATCTTTAGTGTACCCATTACTGGAATCTTTGTTTAATAAATCTTTATTTTCGGGCACTTTTATAGATGACTGGAAATTGGCTTTTTTTTAAGAGTGGTAATAGAAATCATATTAGTAATTACAGACCAATCTTTTTTTTTTGAATGCATTATTCAAGATAAACTTTTATTCGCCGTTAAGAATTCAATGTCTGGAGTAGCTTTGCTTTAAACCGGGCCGTTCAACCGTGTCTAATTTAGCAGTCTTCTCAGACGACTGTTTAGCAGCTTTTCAATCAGCGATTCAGGTGTAGACATACCGACTTCTCAAAGGCCTTCGATAGGGTTTCTCAAGTTATCATTTTAAAAAAAGTTAGCCTGCACAGGCTTCCCTTCAGTCTTCCTGCATCTTAATTACACAATCGCCGTTGCGCCGTAGTTGTCGACAATGTTTAGTCTTTACCTTTCGCTACAAGCTCACTGGTCCCGCAAGGTAGCATCCTGGGTCTACTCTTTTTTGTGTTATTTATTAATGATACTAGTCCTTGTTCTCTTTGTCAAAGTTTCTGCTTTACATGTTTCCCCTACAGCGTTATAATGAAATAAAAGACCTGGGAATAATCTTTTACTCTAAGTTAACATTTTCCGATTACATTACCCCTTATTTTAACTAAATCATATGCCACGTTTGCTTTTGTAAGGCGTCATAGTGCAGAATTCACTGACACGTATACACTGAAAAACTCCTGTATACGGCATTTGTGCGTTACAGGTTCGATACGCGTTTATTTGGTCTCCTTACTATACGAATTATATTACCAGAATTTATCGGATCCAGAAAGTATTCTTACGCTCTGCTCTACGTAACTTACGCTTCTCGGATCCTATCCTCGCCTATTTGTCGAGATGCATATTAATGACACTGTTATCCTTACAGAGTACGAGAGTAATTCTGTCATTATCTTTAGTTTTCGATATAGTCCGTGGTGTTGTTGTCTGCCCCTAGAGAGGATTCTCTTTAATAATCCAGCTGGACCTCTTTGGTGCTCAGAGTTTTTCTATGTTGGTGTTTTTAAGACTCTGTAAGCGCAGAACGCTCCCATTACTAGGGCCTTAACTGAGTTCAATAGAATCTATGAACTCTTGGATATTGATTTTTCATTTTCAATAAATCGCTTTATAAACTCGTTGAATCTTTTTTATAAGTAGTTTTGTTTACTCTTATTATTAATTGTATTCAAACTGTGTTCTAACTAGTCTATAAGAATTTCCACTGTATTCATTGCCTAATGAAATGAAATAAAGAAAAAAGAACTAGGCGCAAGCCCTGCAAAAGCAGATTTGCTGCTATTCAACAGAAGTCGCAAAATACACGAGCTCAGCGAAATTTCTGTATCTTTGGGGCAACCTTACCTTAATAATAATAATCCCAACGGGTTTTACCCTCCATTCCCGCTCATCCGCACGAGGGGCGCAGTCCGCATGACGTACGGAACCACTATTTTCAATTTTTGTGTCGAGATCTAAAACTGTTCAGCTACAGAACTAAATTCATCAGCTGATTTTATGTATTTATGTTAATAATTCATTTATTGAGAAAGGAGAGTACCGTTTTCTTAATACTGAAAAGCGGATCTGATATATCAAACGTGCTGGAATGAGAGTTAAAATCCTGGCATAAGCAAAGGAGTGGGTCGTGCAATTCCAAATTAGTTTTAAAAGCTTTCAGAAATAGGGAACAAAAGTGTCTTGATACCCGGGAGGGAACATTAATAGTAATAGGCTCGTTGGTCTTATATGTATATAGAAACCCTTTTCACCAGAGACAGTAAATAGCTGCTTTTACATTATAAAATCAAAAGCATATTTATTTATTGTACCTTTTTTAAAATTCTTTCTCATCGTAAAACATAATATTCAAATATCCTTAAGGCTGTTTTTATAGAATTTATTATATAGTTTATTGTTTGTTATATATATTTATAATTATAATTTTATTATATTTATTATTATATATTTATTTATTTATATATTATACATATATGTATATTATATATAATATTATTATATTGAGCAAAATATACCGATTACAATACGTAAGATGACTTACGAGCGTAAATGAACTCTACGAGTGACCTGCAGCCGGATTCGGACATTCGCTATCGCTAATTTTGACCGCCAAAAATCTCCCAAAGCCAAACAACGTGCAATATCTACTTAAACACCCGTTATACTGCCAGATTTGGGTGATCACACATTACATTTGTTACTTTTCTGTGTTGTATACTTTTGGGCCCCACTGCTATTTGGAGAAATCGAAAATTTAGCATAGCGATTGTCAGAATTCCACAATTTTCACATGGCTATACTTTTCTCATTATTTTTGGAGCAATTTTGGATCTTAATATGAAATTAGAAGGCACAGTTTTACTTTTAAGTCAAAACTTTCAATATTACTTTTTGAGTTATTTTACTTAAGACAGAGTTTGTTCATACAAATGTAATGAAAGACTTTCATTTATGTGTCACCATCAAGGTGCACGCTACGTATCGGAGGAGAAGTTCGGCCAAACACTAACTAATGTGTAAGCGCCAATCTATTATTATTATTATTAGATATAAATGTATACAAAGCAAGACTCTCATAAAAACGTTAGCTCCGAAAAATCGTTTAAATCGAATAACGGAAAGACGTGCCTCAAAGGCCCTAAAGTTCAGCAAATTCATGGAATTTTTCACAATGTCGTCAAAATTGCCTATAAGTTAGTGGGAAATTTAATATGTTTTAATGGCACTTGGTGTAGTTAGGTCCCACGATGTCAAAAATGAAACCTTCCCTACTTGGAAAGTTATTGAGGTTTTTCCCACGAAAATTAAAATTTTCTGGGATCTCAGAAGTTAATTTTAGCCCAGTAAATTCAGATCAAATTGGTACGAAGAAAACAATTGTAGCGAACTTTTGATGCAGTTTACTTTTATTTGACACGTAGACCATGGATCTAGTCTTGCTCATAAATTTCATATGGGAACATTCCGCCATATTGGGTTTTAGGTTTTTTGGGATTCTTTGCGATTTGCAAGCTAATTTTGCATTTTTCCTAAAACCGGTTGAATTAAAATTTGTAGAGAATCTAATTACCGACATGTTTTATATACAAGGTTGTCAAAAAATTATTTTTTATTGTAAATTAGCAAAGTGCGAAAAATTTTTACGTTGTACAATTTCTGTTGAAAATACGTTACAGATTAAAATGCTTAAGTTGTAGAGAATTTAATTATCCATAACTTTTGTACGATAATTATTTTTGTGCGATGCTTAGATCACGACCGAGAACGTGCTAAACATAGCCATGTAAGGGAAGCGGCGTAAAATTCGTTTCCACATCACGTCAACCGGTACAGTACGATGGTCAAAATTCTATAGGACGGATTAAAAAGATTAAGGTCTTAATATTGTTACCTTACTTTTTGCTACCAAAAGTCGACCTACCTAATGTACCAAAGCAAGTGCACTTACCAGTGCCCAACAACAACAATACACAAGGGCCAACCAAATAAACAAATATACGCACAAAAAGGAAGTGACAAAAAAAATTGCAACCGGCTGACTCAGTGGTGACGGCATGGTTGCTTGAGGGGGAACAACAGGGCAATATACAAAATACTGAGGGCAAATGGAATTTAAAGCTGGACAACAACAATTTTATGAGGGAACGGCATCAACTATTAATATGTATGTAGCGAACTAACGTACAAATATCACTACTAGGGCGAGCCTAAAATTACAAGACAAATCACTGAGTATTTAAATGCGGCCCAAAAGTATTAAACGACAAAACAGAAGATTCTACGCAACAAAAATGCAAAAACAAAACCTTGTTTTTTGGAGCACCCGAGGTGATGTCCAACCAAAAGGTTACGAACCCACTCGCAATACCGCCCAGGCTGCCAGGGGTAACTTTAACCCGCCAAGTGGCTGGGCTCTGCGTGCGGGATGTTAAAAGGAAGGGATAGGGAACACAATAGGGGAAAACTACCGACAACTCTACTAGCCAAATACAGGCAACAACACAAAGGATACTTACGCTGTGGTCTGAGTGTGCGTCGAGGCTAAGTGCCTTTGCTGGCACTTTTCAGAACTATCTCAAACACT